AGGATGACGTAGAAACAGCCATATGAAAAGTTACCACAGAATGACCATCCACTTAGGTGGAGAGGTCAGGATGCACATTGGCTAAATAATATTATGGGGAGTGGACTATGAGTTGCTACCAAAGCCCAAGGGCCAGAGCACCGAACAAATAGTGACCTCAGCGCTAAACATCCATATGACCCAGTCGCCTCTTCGGAATGGGTGGAATAAAAAGTAGTTCGCGTTCAGCCCCATTGGTGTGCAGACAGGTCGGGTACATACCATTCCGCCTCAACCTCATTAGTGTGTAGAAGAAGAAAGAGAAAAAGAAGAAAAAGAAGCGGAAGAAGGAAGACTAATTCAGCACAAGAAAGAGAAACAAAGGAAAGACTAGTTCGCTTTCAGCATCATAATGGACGCAAACTTGGCCGATCTCTTCATGGTCGACCTCCAGCTCAGTTTTAGGCTCCGCATCAAACTCGCTGGCTACTCTTTTGAGAACCAGCTCAAGAAACACTGCGTTGAAGTCTACGTAGGTGGAGCGACTTGATAAAACAACCACATAGAACCCCTTTTTGAGGATGGCATGATGGGCTTTACTCTTGAGGTACTTAGTTGGACTATAGAACCCCTTGATGGTTGCATCCCTAATAAGGTAGATGCCCTCGGGGTACCTACTCCACCTCTCCTCGGGCGGATGAATTCGCTCTCGTGCCCCGATAATCAATACGGCGAGGTCTTGCGTAAGGCTGCAAACACTTGGACTCTTCCGACCTGAAAAGAAAATTGGACCGGCGCTTATGACTATGAGCTTATCGAATCAGTCATTCCGGGCCAAAAGGAGAGATCTACTCCCTTCGCCGAGCTACTTTTAGGTCGGGAATGGGGGGGCAATTGGTGAGGGCGGATTTGGCCCTCTAGTGACATTGTGTGACACATGGCATCTTGGAGCAGTTAGATGACACATGGACACCACCTAAGCGATGACTTGGAGTCACAGATTGCAGTTTCTCTTTGCCCTGACCTGACAACCTGCCTTCACCGCCAACCTGGCAACCTCGACCACAACTCAGGTTGGCTAGAAGCACCTCATCCAAGGCCGACCTGTAGCACCTCGTCACTGGCGGAAGTGACCTCGACGCGAGGAGCGACCTCCCTCGAGGGCGCGCCGGCCTGACTGAGGTCCAGGTGGCAACCTGCGAGACGTGTTCGTCGACAAATTCGACATGCATATCTCAACACTCCCACGTTTCTCGGAAGTTGGCCCACGTACCGAACGTTCCGGAGGGTGGTCAACGTGCATGGTGGTTACCTCAGGGGATTTCGGACCGGTTAGGCGACCTCCTTGAAATCTTGGATGCAGTGCATAAAGCCCACACCAAACAATGCCTATATAAAGGCATCAACCCCAATGACACAAAGGAGAGGCGAGTAAGCACATTCTAGCTCTCATACTTTCTGATTTTTTAGCTCGCGATCTATTACGAGAGTACTAACTTAAGCATCGGAGCGACCTCGCCGGGTTAGCCACCCCGGGTCCTCTAACATTGATTCCTTGCAAGTTTCTCTGAAGAGCTATCCAGCTCGGCAATCAACCTAGCCCGACACCCAATCTACCCCCCAGCTTGGCATTCAAGTCCTCGTCTAGAAAAAATCCTCCACTTCGGTCTATGAATCATCAGCCACCTGAAAGTAATCCGAACAACAGGATACTGCCAAAAAGCACTTCATCAGAACTCTTATTCAAACTCTTCAGAGCATGATCTCCTCCATTGATGTTTGATGGTGAGTCCTCCCATGACTACTCACTCCTTAGTAGTAGATGGGGAGGCTGAGAGGGTCAGACCCGCCTCAGTCGTTGTCATTGGCGCTTGCTCAGAGCTTGGATAAAGCTGTGGTACCGACCTAGTTGGAATCGTCTAAGAAGGTTACGAATACCGAATACGTTTGGGCAAAGAATGTCGATTTACAGAGGTTAGGATCAAGTATAAACACTCAAGACTCCTCACCTCTCCTTTTCGGTTTTCTTTCCGGTGGTTGGTGGAAGTTGGCGTATTTTGTCATCGAGAGGTTATTCCGCCTCCGAATCATCATCGTGCGAGCTGCAATTGATGAGTATGAAGCATATGCAACCAAACTGATGATGCATAAAAAGCCATTATCCAATGTTGGTCCTCTAAGGTAGACCGGTAAGGTTTTATTTTTTTTGGACAAAGTGGCCGCCTTCGGATTTGAAGCTGCATGGCCACAGTTATCAGCTCAAGATAATCCCTAATTCTCGGTTTGGAGGAGTATAAATACAAATATATAGAGTGTAAAATGTTGTATTTTGTATTATTTTATATGTATTTGCATTTATACTCCTTCCAAATTGAGCATAACTGATCAAGCATCTACAACTGAAAGAAAGGAGGTTCTGAAGCAGTTTGGAGATTCAACTTACGCTATGGTTTAGGAATTTCAACTCTGGTTCAGGTTCTGTTGCTGCTCCTACAAGAATCAGGATTACGAGATCTGAGGTCGTCTGGTTTGTAGCACTTGTCTAAGGAGGGCACTCTTTACACTCAGACCTGAATCGTGGATACCCTTTGTGAGATGTAAAGACAAAGTAATAGAGCAAATTGCAATCTAATTAAGGAGTGAATAACTAAAAAAAGTTGTTTGTATGGCAAATCTTATTTCCCTTGAAACGACACGTGGTAGGAGCCTGAGGGTGTGGTAATCAAAGTGAATGTATTCCTTACATCACAGCTTGACACTTGTCCTCATCGGAGCAACTTAGGGATTAGAGCCCCTAACCACGTAAGGAATATTCTGAAATTCTTGATCTTTGCCCATACAGGAAGTAAGCCTTTTCTTTTCTATAAATACAAGGGTTCATGACATAAATGGGCTCATTTAGATAATTCAAATCATTCGAGTCATTTGATACCTTCGGAGTCATTTTATCATCAGTTTCTTCAGCTCCAACTATTCCATTAATCTAAGAGGTTGAGCATTCTAACCCTAGCATCATTTCATCTTTTATTCTCTTAGAGTTCTACACCCATCTTCTCAATCCAATCTCATCCCTGACACCTTATTCTTCCCAACATCCTACTATTTACCTCTAGATCTTGGATCATCTTTGATGGTGTCAATCTAACGCTCCCTACTTGTGGACAGCTCGAATGTTGAGCTGATAAGGTTGGCTGGTCGAATTGCAAGAAGAATAAATTAGAATGTTTAGGTTGCTTGACTCGGGGTGGGTTTTCCACTGCTCAAGTCAACGAACTATTATTTTACTGCAAGAAAGCAAGAAATGTTAGAGTGCTTAGAGAGCTAAATTGCGCACACCTATTTTGTGAAGGGGATGTCTTTATATAGGCAAGTTACCGTAAAGCTCATGAAGTGCGTCTAAAATCCCTGACCCATCTGGTTCAGAGGTGGACTTTACGTAAGTGAGTAGTGCTTATCCAGTCACACTTAAAGCAGGCAGGGTGATAACCGGTTCTTTCGATGTGGCATTGTGATCCCAGGGAAATCGGAGATGATAGCCCGCTTAAGGAGGAGGTCGCTCGATGCGTCAAGCAAATCACTAACTGAAATCAGGTCAGGTCGCCCCTTATGTCGACTTGATGTCTTGCTGGGCTACTCGCAATTCGGCCTGCCGAGATGGTGCCAAAGTCGACAAAGCAGGTGCGAGGAATTCAAAGCGCTCCCGAAATCTATTTATGTGGTGTTGAGATGTTGCACGACTGTCATGAGATACCACGTGTTATTACATCATTGGAAGGCAAAATCGCCCCTCATCAATCTCCATAGTGTCATACCTACACTCTTCTCTTTGAAAAATACTAGAGAGAGACCTTATGAGAGGAGCCAATTAGTTTCTCTTTCTTAACTTGAACTCTTATTCAAATTTAGAGTTGCCTTATAAACTACCAGGTTGGCTAGGGCTATGTAGGATTTTCTTGTCTAAAAAAAGTTGTACATTGCCTCTCAGGGCTATGGAATTGAAGCATTGCCAAATTTTTTAAAAGTAATTACCTAATGTCCTTAATAGTCCTGAACTTCTACCTAATCATGTTATAGAAGTAGGCAATGTTTCTCTTTCTGATGTGTTGTAGAGCCAACTGCTAGCTAGCCCCACTAGGTCTAACGGTCCAGTGCCCATCTCTCTTTCTCTCTTCTTCAGTTTAGAGATAAACAATGCGTAGGTGATAGCATACTATTTATTAAGGTAAAGTCCTAACCAATCAAAAGAAATGATATTTTCTTCTTTCTTTCTTTTAATTATTGCCAATTTTGTTGGGTCCTCAAGGTAAGAGATATCAAATGTGTGGTTTTTCTATTTCCTGATATCCTCATTTAATTAAATGAATATGAGTGGCATGTGACCAATCACCGTCCATCAAGAAAAAATCCAAAGTCCATGTGATTCCATAGTTTTATGACACTCATTCCATACAAACCGGTGACTGACACCAATTTGACCAATAGCACCATCTCTCTCTCCTTCTCGGCATTAGATTCCATGAACAACCACATCTTCTTTTCTCTCTCTATTTTTCTGTTTTACCCTCTTTTATCCTTCTCTGTTTTGGTCTCCTACTGTCAACATGCTCTTTAGTCCAATATAGTCTTTGAGATGCTAAAGTTGGACAAAAGTCGAGTCATTCATCCACCCAAATTATTCCTCTCTCTCTCTCTCTTACCCAAAAACCCAACCCAACCAACCCACATAAGAAAAGAAAATGCTTTTTTCCCCTTTCCAGTCAACTTTTATTTTCGCCTGTCAACCTGCAGCCCCATACTTGTAGTTGAAAACTTTGAACCAAAATAAAGACCCAACAAACATACCCGACATAAGAAAAAATGTCCATCCCTTTCCGATCACCTTCCCCATCAAAAACAGACAGAGTTGCTGTAACGAACGCTTTAGGAATTCAGACTCTCTCTCTCTCTCTCTTTTCTACGCATTACGCACACTCCAACGACAATAACTAGTAACAACAGCGAGAATGTAAATGGCAATCATATTTGTGAAACCAAGCATCATCGTTAATTTAACTCGTTCATTCTAGTGGCTGTAACTTAAAGACAAAATTACAATTAGACCTTTCTCTCTTGCTCTGTTCTTTCTAAACAAAATTCTTACATACAAAGAGATACATACATACAGATGTTTATACACCCAACTATAAATCATTAATTTTTGTTTTTTTTTTTTGAAGAAAAATAGAAGTGGAGTTTGATGATGAAGAATCAAAATGGGGAAACATCACTGCAACCAAAATCGTCAGAATTGGCGATTGAATCATCGGGCCATGAGTCCCTCAAAAGCTTAAGCAGTAACTGCGCCTTGCGCTTCGCTCTCTCCGTGCAATCACTCTGCACAAGAAGCAATAACTGCGTCACCACTCCCGCCGCTACTGCATCTCTCTGCAGCTGCTTTGACGCAGAGCAAAGCGACAACAGAGCACCCGCTGCGTACTCCGTCGCCCGATCCGATATCTTCAGGATGATCTTCACTAGAAGAGGAACCGTCAACGCGTGTTCCGCAAACGCCGCGCAGCCCTCTGGGATCCGGCAGAGCAATTCCACGGTCGCCAGGGCTCGCTCTGCGTCGCACTTCTCGAAATCGGCTAACCTGTCAATTAGCGCATCAACTGCCCCGGCCGACACCGCCTTGTGTCGGCTTTGCTTCACCAAGCACAAAGCGAACAAGGCCTTAATCCCCACCTTGAGGGCTCTAGGGTAAGCTAACGGGTTGCTTAGTATCCTGGTTATTCCTTCCATCACCCCATCGGCATTGCCAATTAGGATCCGGTGCTCAACCGACCGAGTCCCTGCGGCCACGATCTCAATGAGTGCAGCAGCATTGACGCGGACCTCGATAGAAGAGTGAGAGAGAAGGGAAGCGAGAAAGGTGACTCGGTCCGGTTGTGAAGCTACGGATTCGCACTGAGACTCGACAAGCGGTAACATGACGAGTAGCGCGAGAGATTCGTGAGTCAACTCGTCTGGTTCTCTCTCTTTATCGGCGGCAAAGACGATGGGAAGGAGCGTATCCGGGGCATTGCTTGCGGAGATGACAGAGCGGTTCTTGTCGGAATCCCGAGCCAGTCCTCTAAGGCGGCGAAGGGCGGAGAGGCGTGAGTGGGAAGTGCTAGAGTTTGAGGCGGCTTGGGCGAGCAAAGTGCGGACGAGGGCGGGATCGGCGGGTTGTTTCGGAGTGGGGATGCGCTCAATCCCGAGCGATCGGTTGGCGACACACCAGTCCTGGATGAGACGGCGGAGGGTGTGGTTGGGGATGAGGGTGAAGTCGGAGAGAGGGGCGCGGGTGACGGGACAGGTGGTGTTGCCGGTGGCGACCCATGACTCAATACTGGATCGGTCGTAGGTCTGACCGGTGCACACCGTGACAGGATCGCGCATGAGCTCCAGCGAGATTGGACATCTGAAGTGGTATGGGATCTGTACCGCTGTGTCCAATGGCTCTAAGCTTCCTGGCATTCTCTGTGTTTCCTTGTCTATATTTCTCTTTCTCATACACAGATCTATATGATCTATCTCTGTTGTTGTTTACTTTGTCTTTCTCCTCTCTTACTGGCCTTGGCCTTGGCCCTGAAGAAACATTCTAAATGACAACTTTTTACAGGACACCTCTGAAGAAGTCTGAAATCTGAATCCCCACTGCAAATTCTCTCTCCTTGCTTTCTCCTCTCTTTCCTATACGCTGGAAACGGGAGCATACCAACAACAACAGCCGTAGGACGAGCACTGCTCTTATCTGACTCCCCACACGTGTGTTACGCTAATGTTACTCGAAACCCTAGCTAACACTAGTTCAACTCTGGTCAAACCCACCAACGTTATTCTGCTAATCTGGCCCCACATCGCCCTAGAATAAAGGGCAAAACTTTGTAATTCATTCATTTACTACTGTATGCGAAACTGATCCAGTACGGAGTACTCCAGGCCAGCGTCGTTGATTACGAGTTACGAGTACCGGACCACGGGGTGGCGGTCAAAGGTCAATGAGGATCACAGGAAATGTGTGGGCCCCTTATGTCTACCGTCCACATTATTGGTTCTCAGGCCTCCCTTTTCTTTTTAATTCTAGTATATCTATTTGGGTTGCGAGTTGCGAGAGGTGAGCTGGCTGTGTGATCTGTGATGCCAATCTTTTCTCATCAGTGACTCTATTCGTGGGTGGGGCCCATGATAAGGCAGGCCCAGAGGCCCAGACCTAGGTGGCCAGGTCTACATGAACACGAGCGGGGCGGGAGAATCTGTCACATGGTTGATTTGGCTTTTTGGTTGGGGCCTTTTAGGGAAGAGCGGTGGGTGTCGTGTAGCGGCAAAGACACGCGTGCGGGCTGGAGACGACAGGTGCGCCCATCGAGCCACGCCCTTACGACCCTCCTGTCCCCAGTCAACCAGGCAGAATTGCCGGGCCAGCCTGCACCTTTGTTTCCCCGATGCACGTGCCCTAACCCACTCGCACGTGTTCCTAGCTAAGCCTTTGAATGTTTGACTGTCTTGCCTTCACTAGATAAGCGTTTATTTCCGATGAAACGAACTATATATATGAAGATAATCTGATTATGATGATGATCCAACATCCAAGCGACTGTTTGTTTAAATTTTATTAGAGGAACAATTTGGTGGTAAATATAAGTAGAAGACCGTTATACAATACCACATCCTCATCCTGGAGTGGAGTCTATCCGATTCTTCTTCCTCTGCAGCTTACATTTATCTGGTCTGGTGGGTTTCATTCCAACAAAATCCATCCTATGGGGAATCTGGGGTTTAAAAAACCTTGGAAAGGGAGAAAGAGAGGCACACAACACATTAAACATGGTTCAACTCGAACCAATGTTTCTCTCTCTTGTTGTTTGTCCGTTTTATGCGTCCCCAACATTGATTCTGCCATGTTTTTTTGAGTTCCTGACTTCGGTCCTTGCAACTAAAATCGGCTTATGTCCGAGCCGGTAGGGTCCCAGAACTAATGTCCACTCCACATTACCTACTTTATAACGGTGGTTTCTTTTAGTAGTGCGTCCTGCGTCGTTTTATCAAAGATAGGATGTGCCCAAAACAAATCAATGCACTTTCACTTGTCAAATTTTCATGAAACCAAATCAAAGGCTGAGTTTGGAAGGAGTACCAAATCAAAGGCTGAGTTTAGATGGTAAAACCTTATATTTTGTATATATATTTACATTTGTACTTTTTCCAAACTGAGCCAAACGTCGGGTGATTATGTGCGTTAATAATTATAAAGCAAAGTAGTCAGCTATAGTTGTCCTTGTGTGATTCCAATTTCCAACCTTGCTAGGAGTTGCTATATTTATATCTATACCGAATTACCGATGAGAGGGGTGTCATGTCATGTGTAGTGTAGATTGTGGTCCTCACGTTGCATTGCAAGCTATCTAGAATCCATTCTCTTTAAGTGCCATTCACGTTTGGACCCATCATCGAGGCGGTCAAAATGCACAGCTCTTAGCAAAACCTAGATGAAAGTTTCTTCGTTTGCCATTGAGTTTGGTGGACATAGAGATTGCCCCGGTAACGTGCGTGTGCGCGTGCCTTTGAGTTTCTCCTTCTCTAGGCTGGAGCTGGATGTCTGTGCCTGTACTGTGTAGTGTGTACAATTACAAATTTCACACATTGCACATACATAATACATTTGTCCCCAGATTTTGCGCGGTTCGTGTGAATTTGGATCCATTCTTCAGCAAACGTACATTCGTTGAATAAAAGTGGGCTAGGCTAGCATATTTCTAAGGTCCAGCCCTCGAATTCGGTTCGTACGTACTGTCTCTGTTTCCCAACTGTCCAAAGCCCAAACCTGGTGAGATTTGTAAGGTCAACAGGAGTCGGGTTAAAAGAATGCCAGCCCACTCTAGTCTATATACTCTATACCTTAATCGCCCATTAATTAAAATATTCAAAAAAAAAATAGAGGAGAAAGATCGAAGAAAGGACGAGAAAACTGAAAAGAAACATTCTGACAAATCCAATCCAAGGTGGAAAAGATAGAGAGAAGGTTTCTTTGGTGTTGTAGAATTGTACAATCTTCCCTGTTCCCTATTCCCTACTACTGAATTAGAATATCAATATCCTCCTCACAAGATGCGCCTCACAGTCACGTCTCACTTTGTATTTGAGAATATCTCCCCTCTGATAATAAATATAAGTATTCGAAATATTTTTGATGTACGGCCAAGACATATTGTGAGGCCCGCTGTGTGAGGAGCAGGTTCGAACTCTCTAATCCTTACTACTCCCATTTCCCCACCTTGTACTAAAATGCCAATCCATTAATCGAGATCCGTCAAGGGACAGACAACAGTCAATTATGGCAGGCTGGCTGCTTCTAATAAATAAATAAAAATAAAAAAATAAAAGATTGACCCAACACTGCATGTAGTTCGGTTTTCGAGATAAGCCTTGTTATTGACCAGGCTTTTTGGTTTTGGGTTTCGGCCCATTTCTCACCGCCAGCCGAGTGCGGGCCTTTCTTTCCTCATATGCAAGGTCGATAATGGTTTGGATATATAACACTGATTCTGATTGAACCCAGTAATACTGATCATTGATTAACCTGAAAAAATCTTCATCCTGTTAGTTAGTAAAAAAAGGATTCGGAGATTCATTGGTCTATCCAAACCAAAAGGTTGACTCGAAGAATTGAAATATAGCTTGATTTGAAAGAAAAGATGGTCGCTTTGATCCAATTCATCCATCAATAATTGCAACGATGATGACACTGTTTTATAATTTATACTTGTCAAATGATACAAAAACATTTTTTTACGGCATCAGTACTATAAATGCAATGTATAGCTGTAGATATTGCATTTGGCATCACTGTTTGGAAACATGGTGTGTAGCATTTTACGGTCTGTAATTGACTAATTGTTTTGTGGCACTGATACTAGGAAATAATGTCCCAGTATTGTACTACAAACAACAATAATGGAGTAGGTTTCTAGTCTCGTCTTTTTTCTAAACAGCCTAAAGCATCTTGCACGTGGCTAATTACATCCAATCAAGGATCTCCAAATTTCTATTCCTACCCTTTATATGTTAGAATTTGGCAAAAAGAGAAGTCCATATTAAAAACCACCAATACAAGGTGGGGTGCATAGATAATAATATGCAATGTGCGATTGAACATGTGGCTAAAATGAGTACTGAAATAACTAACCGATGAAGAACGATGGTGGAGGTTTTCTTATTGGTCTGTACGAGAGAGAGATGGAGTTGGGTTTGAGCTTGAGAGACGCCTCCAACGCCTAAAGTTCAAAATATCGATACACCCGATATGCCGGTATGGGTGTATCGGGTGAATCGATACTCCTTTTGGTGTTTATTTTTTTTTTGCCAACTAATTCAGGGGAGCCGATTTGAGTCTTCGTTACACTCTGAACTGGTCAGACCACTGATACACCCACTGTAGGGGCATATTGGTGGGTGCCAGAACGATACATATCGATCGATACGGACTGATACGTGTCAATACTTTGAACCTTGCCAATGCGCTTTTGCAGACAAGAGTCATAAGGTTAGCGCCAAAGGTCTAGGGTTTTGCATGGGCTTAGGTGTTGGGATTGTTAACAGTAGAGAGGAAGGGAAACTAGAAGCTAATGAGCGGGATTCTGCTTTAAGGGATGTAGATGAAATAGAGGAGGAGAAAAAGAATTCTACCGGTCCGCCTATTCAGCTTGATCTTCTCCCTCCTGGTCCCGTCCCTCGTAACCCCCCTTCTTCTTTGCAACTATGCTTTCCCTGGCCAACAGAGAATGGTAATACCCGATGCGACCAAGCGTCCACTGATATCTCCACTTTTGTTTTGTTAGGCGTCTTCGTGTATTATTTGTCTTGATGGGTTTTGGGCTGTCACAGGTAATTCTGAGGCAGGTTCATCGGGTCACCTAGGGGCAATGGCGAGAGGGTTCGACGTCAATCGGTTGCCCGCGGCAGAGGATATTGATGATGAGCCGTAGTTTCTTCTCCCAACAGTACTGTTTCTTTGTTTCAGATGGATTTTTCCAATTATAGAGGCGGTAGTGGAGGCAACAAGAGAGATGCAAAAGTTGAGGCGGAGAGAGTGTCCTCAAGAGCCAGTGACGAGGAGGAGAACGGCCTGACTAGGAAGAAGTTGAGACTCTCCAAAGAACGATCAGCCTTTCTCGAAGAAAGCTTCAAGGAACATAATACTCTTAACCCGGTAAGTAGAAATCCCGAGAGAGAGAGAGAGAGAGAGAGGGCTGGATCCCTATGTTATTTTCTGACGAAGGGAGGTGGAGGAGCTCGGGGTCGGTTTCCAGATGGACGTCGGATTCAGCGGAATTTCCTTCATAAGGATCCCATACAGTTGTTGTGGTCATTCTGTTATTCTCAGCTTGAGGAAACAGGGGCAAGATCATTCCGGTTGGTACAATCGTACAAGCAATTCCAGGGGATTCAAAGCAGCTGGATTATGTCAAAAAGCTCACGTTTGTTGAGTTTGGATCGCCCTTCCGGTTCGGCCTCGAAGCTGGATCGAAACCCGAGCTCCTCCTTGCGATGAGCTGTCTGTGCAAAGGCAATCCTGAAGCTTTTCTTGTCTGCAACGGTTATAAAGACGCGGAATACATCTCACTTTCTTTGATAGCGAGGAAGTTCCATCTGAACACAGATATCGTCATCGAGCAAGAAGAACTTGACTTGGTGATTGACATTAGCCGCAAATCTGGCATGCGTCCGCTGATCGGTGTACGTGCATCGTGAGGAAGAAGATAAACAGTATTCATAAAAGGGTAAAATAGGTATTTAAAAAAATCTATTGTTTTAACGTTTTCCGTCTTAGTGGGAGGTATTTGTTAAATTTTTCAACGATAGAAGAAAGGTTTTCGCTAAAGTAAAACTACAGTAAAGATTCTTATTATGATGTCAGAAACTAAGGTTTTTATATTTTACCTAAAAAAAATAAATTAGAGATAAGATATAAAAACGGTTTTGGTTGGGTAAATAATAGTGGAGATGTGGGAATTTTAGAAAATACCAAAAAAAAATATGAAAAGATGAGAGAGAAAACCTATGAATTAATTTTATAAACTTCAAAAATAGAAAACAATCAAAAAGGAGAAACACGTAATCATCCACCTACTATAAGAGTTGTATGGAACGGTTGCACAAGACTTATCTAATCAATCAATTATGACAACATGAATCAATGGAAATAACTTAGATTTTTTTTTTGTATAAAAAATACATTGAATAGCCAATGTTATCGGTGCTGTTGATGGGGCGCGTTGGTCACTTGGTCTGACTTAGGGTAGATCCGGTACCAACCTAATAAACACCAAGGGGATATTATTAAACGTATATGGTTTTGTTTTTAAAATAAAAAATAAATAATACGTTAGAAAATTCTAAGACCTCATTGGTTAAATGGTAAGTCATTTATTTAAGGGGGTGTTCATCCATGCATGTTTTATCTAATTATTGAAGGAATAATATTGTTTCATCATCATTTGTCAGCAATTTTACACGATAACAAGAAATTTATTTATACCCAAGTTTTACGAAAGTATTGCTTATCTAAATAAATAATGCTCAAGAATCCTTATTTTCTGTGGGTATATTAATGTTGAAACGCAAGCATGGGTTTCTTTCTTTTTCGTGGGACCTACGACTTGTTCAACGGGCCAACCCATAAATGAAAAACTATGCAATAACATTGTACCAAATCCTGTAAGGTCTTTACACCCTCCTTACAACCCTTCTAGATGTTCAAAGATCTTCTCATAAATGAAAATATACAAATACAAACTGCAAATATTGTAATGACCAATTTTGTGAAGACAAAATCTAACTACTATATTTAGATATAAAAAATCTTGTCCAATTATTTAATTGGAACTATATATATACTCAATGGCTGGGTTCTTGCTTAATACTTGTAGTTCTAATATTTCTAGAAGTAAAACTATAATAAATTTGGAAGGCTAGAAATGATAGAATTGTTAGTAATGTTGATTAATCATTTTATTGGGTTCTTAGAAATATTAATAGCATTTTATATTCTTTTCCTTTGGCTTGGCCTAGGAATTATATCATTACCACAACAGCTAGTGACATATTTTCATCAATGAATCTACATTATCATAAACACATAGTTTTGGAAGAGTTTTGACCAATCAAAATCAATCCATGAATTGATTACCATGTTTTTGATAGAATTAATTGATCAAAGTTTTTTGAATATCATATCTTATCAGCATAGTCGAACCCTTTCATCAGTCACAAATAATGAATGTGTCATTCTCTTTGATGGTGGCTTCGTGACAAGGCTCTATTTGGAGAGTGCAAATTAGTAATCTGGGTTCAGCTATTTTGTTTTTTGTGTATCTACACTTGATAAGTTAATTTTTATTTGGTGTAGGTGGGAGATCAATTTAGTGAAGCAGATGCAGAATTTGGTGTTATTTTGGAAGTGTCTTTTTTTTTTGTATTTATTGACAGGTAGACGCCTTTGTATTGGGGGAAGCATTAAAATAAAGCTTCCTTCGGTGGTTGGCTTGCACCTAAACCAAGACAAACATTTATAAGATTAATAAGTGTACGAAATAGCATGATGGGACAAATACGTACGTGGCAATGACATAACACCATTTTCAAATAAATGGAAGCCATACCAAATATCGCCATTATCTAATTTTTAGAATTTCACTCTTCATTGAAACAGTTGGACAGTGAAACAGGCATTCCATTTAAATTATAACCGTGTTTTACCCAAATGTAACAGAAAATCTGCCATATATTAAATGAAAATGCAAGAAAAAGTGTATGAAGAAGTGCAAGAGATACGAATTATCATCACCATCATCCAAACCTTATCCCAACTATAAGGGATCAATCAGGTGAATCCTATTTGGCTAGTTCATTGTGTTTAATGTCATATCCATTGTAAAATTATTGGCATTAAATCATTTCTTACTAATTTTACTCGTGCCTTTTTTTATTTTACGCCTTGTCCTTCTAACCCCTTCAACTTCCAACAAATTATTTCTTATAGGTGTTGTTGATAAATGATAACCTTCAATTCTATGCACATAACCAAACCATAATAGTCTATTTTCTTTTTCTTTCTAGTTTTTCACTCATTTCTACTCCACTATCATAGGAGAAAGAAATAGGCAGGAAAGAGGAAATAATATAAAATTTACATCAGTTTTTGAAATGCAAATTTTGCACTGTCAAATATCAATAAATGTAAATGAGACTAAAAGCAAATTTTACATCAGGTAAGAGTATGAATCACAACGAGAAAGAAACCGATCCAAAACTGAATTGGATGGGATTTAGATTTGCACAGCCAACAAATGAACTCAAATTTCGAAAAGCCCCACAGCGGATGCAATCCATATTTCCTGTGGTCAAACTGTAATATAAAATTTGAGAGATGAATTAAGAAATAATATAATAGCGATGGCGTTAATGATAGTAATAGTGATGAATGATGTTTAAAGTAACATTTGGATCAAATGGGATGGGGTGGATGAATAAGCCGCAATTATTTGATTAGATGTACATACTGGAAAAAAGAGAACGTGTTTATGTGGTTGATTGAATGTGTGAAACATGAGTGAGTGGGGATAATTGGATAAACGAGAGTCCAGATGAAGCAAAAGTCATCAATTAAAAACTAGTTTTCAAATCCATGCAGCAACAGTAAGCAATGATGAAGAAAGTTTGGTTTCTATTTTGTCCTTCTTCTGAGGCTAACTTTTTCAATGGTTCAACAATTGAACGAAAATGACACTTTGAATTTGTTGACGTAAACAATTACCGGCAGTGGTTTTTTTATTTTTTACCGGATCGGATCGGGAAAATTAGGAACTGGTCATCCAATCGGTTCCATTTTACCTTAAAATCGTCTTTTGGCCAAAAACCGTTAATTTGGTCGGAAAATTACTGACTTGAGCGGTCGAATTGTCAAAACTATTGATCCGAACAATAGCTTTTGGTCATTTTTTGTTTTCTTAATTTTTTTTGTCAGAGTAAACCATTCATTCAAACCGGTCGATCGAATTGTTCGGCTTGAGAACCAGAACCCAGAACAGTTTCCTATCCAGTCTGGTTTTAAAAAGCTTGTTTACTAGAGATGTGGAGACCTTTATGCACTGTTTTCAAAACCGGACCGGACCGGACGGTCGGTCAGATTGAAAAAACCGATCACCTTACCGATTCCGTTTTCCTCCAAAACCGTTTTTTCCCTCAAAACCGTTGATTTTAGTCAGAAAATCACTGAACCAGCTGGTTAACCGTTCGAACTGTTCAAACGGTTTTGACCGTTTTTCAAATTTTTAATTTTTTTTTGTCAAAACGGACCAACCGTTCAGGTTGAATGGTCGGACCGTTCAAACCGGTAACAGACCCCTGACCGGTTTGACCACTGGTTCGTTTTTAAAAACCACGCCTTTATGTGAACTGTTTTTCTTATTGCAAGTTTAATTCAAAATAAATCAAAACCATTTAATTTGAAATTCAATAAATAGATTATTTCTCAAAACAAAAACACAAAAGCATATCTTTATTTGTATACTTGTTTTCTCTTTTTCAATTGTTTGATAAATTGAAATTTGATTTTGTTTTGATAAATTGAAATTTGATTTTGTTTTGAAAAAAATATAATTTATTTGTGGAATAAACCCATGTGATGAAAATGGGTGTTTCTGTTTCAGTTTTCAGAAATCAAAATTGGCAGAATCCGCTGCCCTTCGAGCGTTTAGGTATATGTATGTCCTCATCAGAAAGTTAGATCGGTACTGATGTTAATGGAGTAAAGTTGTTTCTTTTATTTTCAAAACGATGCTACTTAAATCACAAAAGATGAAACAAAGACGTGATCATATTTAGAGGTGTAAATCGAGCTGTGCCACTCGTGCCTTGGCACGATTTTGAGCCGGCCCGATGGTCCACGGGCCATGCCATAGTCCCCCAGCACAATCGTATGGGCCGATGGGCTATGCCGGGCTTGGGGTT